ATATTATAATAACTATAATATTATAATAACTATAACTAAAATAACTAATATTATAATAACTATAATATTATAATAACTATATTATAATACCTATAATAACTATATTATTATAATAACTATATTATAATAACTATATTATAATAACTATAATAACTATATTATAATAACTATATTATAATAATAACTATATTATAATAACTATAATAACTATAATATTATAATAACTATATTATAATAACAATAATAACTATATTATAATAACTTTAATATTATAATAACTATATTATAATAACAATAATAACTATAATATTATAATAACTATATTATAATAACAATAATAACTATAATATTATAATAACTATATTATAATAACAATAATAACTATATTATAATAACTATAATAACATATTATTATAATAATTATATTATAATAACTATAGTATAATATTACAATAACTATATTATCATAACTATAACTATAATAACTATAATAATGATAATATTATAATAACTATCTTATAATAACTATAATATTATAATAACTGTATTATAATAACTATAATAACTATAATATTATAATAACTATATTATAATAACTATAATATCATAATAACAATATTATAATACCTATAGTATAATATTACAATAACTATATTATCATAACTATAATAACTATAATAACTATAATAATGATAATATTATAATAACTATCTTATAATAACTATAATAACTATAATAATATAATAACTGTATTATAATAACTATAATAACTATAATATTATAATAACTATATTATAATAACTATAATATCATAATAACAATATTATAATACCTATATAATAAAAACTATATTATAATAACTATAATATTATAATAACTATAACTACAATAACTATAATATTATAATAACTATATTATAGTAACTATAATAACTATAATATTATAATAACGTATTATAATAACTATAATATCATAATAATATTATAATACCTATATAATAACTATATTATAATAACTATAACATTATAATAACTATAACTATAATAACTATAATATTATAATAACTATATTATAACAACTATAATAACTATAATATTATAATAACTATATTATAATAACTATAATAACTATAATATTATAATAACTATATTATAATACCTATAATAACTATATTATTATAATAACTATATTATAATAACAATAATAACTATATTATAATAACTATATTATAATAACAATAATAACTATATTATAATAACAATAATAACTATATTATAATAACTA